GAACATAAAAGGGTATTTTCAACACTTTCTTGATATACTGTTTTTAACTCATCATAAACCACTTGTATGATTGTGCTATAAGAACATAAAAGGGCATTTTTAACACTTTCTTGATATACTGTTTTAACTCATCATAAACCACCTGTATGATTGTGCTATAAGAACATAAAAGGGTATTTTCAACACTTTCTTGATAAAATGTTTTAACTTATCATAAATATATTTCGTAATAAATGATGAAATTCGTTTTGGACTCCCGTTTTAGTGCAACCATCTCAGTATCCAGCTGCCTTTTATCATGTAAACAGACACGTAATGATACTTTCTTTATCTCACCCGTTTTGTGCAACTCTCTTTTGCGTTTGCCTGTTTATTTTCCCAGAAACCGTGTTGGTACTATTCAGCCACACAGTCAATGTTTGAAGAAGATAAATCAATTCCCTGTTTTCCGCGTAGATGATCATGTTCTAATTGGATTACTGGTAGTCTGCAATCCTGTATAGACGGCGTGCGCCAGTTCCCATGCCTATTTCTTGTTTGCACAACAACGGGCTGCATAAAAAGTGTTGAAAGACTGGCATATGGTGAACTGCAGATGCACAGTTGTTAAACTATACGCTTTGCATACGCTACGTGGCCTCTTTCGTTTATTGAGAATTGATAGAAATGGTATTTATTTATTATTGGTTCTGTAATTCCAGATAATATGGTAAACTACACAGAAAGTCGAAGTTGATGCAAAGAAAAACAAATCTTTGCATAGAATTATATCTGTATTTGTTTTAAATTTAATCTCGAATTCTTATCCAGTTTCCTGGCTACAAATGTATATATGTAATCCATTTTGGAAAAGTCTTCTTATTGGTGAAGTAAAATGTTATGTTTGAGTCATCATAGACGAGTATACTGAATCAGAGTCAATGTAGAAATCTTTGCTGTATTCTGTAATTTATATTTATATATGTACAAAAAAAAACACTTCTCATGGAATACAGTAGTACATCTAATTTGGCAACAGAAAGATTTCTTGGCCTTGCATAAGCGCAGAAAACTGATAAACTATATATGTTAAGTCTTAGAAGCACAAATTAAAGAAGGCCTACAACATGGATCTTTCGAGCAAGACAATCAGGCCTAACATGGATCTTTGTTCCGGCTGTTCAGAAAACTTTTAAATTGGTCTGAAAAAGTAGTGCTCAGAAAAATGAAATTTTAAAATAAATTGGTTTACTCGTATGACATTATATGTTTCGAATACTATTACTATCGCATCGGTAAGAGAAGGTCTTTAGCATTTGTAAATTTAAACACTTGCACATTTCATGTAATGTTTGCGAAATGAAGTAAAAAAGCAACGCTTAATGAAAAGAATAAGTTTTAGCCTTTGCAGTGTTACTCTATCCGTCACTAAAAGGCTATCCCTCCTCTGACGTGCACATAATCCTATAAAAGTGTGTATTCTGGGTTGTCAAGCGTAATCAGTGGTTCGTAGCAAAATATTTGTTTTCAGAATAAAGACTTGGAAAAACAACTAAACTAAGATCAGAATGTTGTCTTATTACACCTGTTATCTTATTATCTAAAAACGTTGATTTAATTAACCCTATTTCTGGGTATATGTACATTTCCTCGTACTGTTGATGATTTTTACAATTTTGCGCATATCAGAGGATTTTTTTTTATAATTCCCGAGAAGCTGGGCTTGACCGAGTGATTAGGATGCACGGTCAATGAATCCGAGGACTCGTGGTTCGCGTCCCATTGCCGTAAAAAAATATGATTCACAATTTGTGGTCGTGAGTGAGCTATAAAAGACATAGTCACATCCTATTATTCGGTCAGACAATAGTTGGTGGTGGTTGTTGTTGACTAGTCGCCTTCCTTCTGATATATCGTTTCGGAGTTAGGTACTGCTATGCGCAAATAGCTGTTTTGTAGTTATGCCCGAAATTCGTAAAAACACGAAAAAAAAAACATACTTTTGTTTGCTACTATTACAGCTTCTGACGATGAGACGAAAGGATTTCAGCTTCAAAAAACAGACCAGTAGTTGTAGGTAACTTGTTTGTTTGTTTTTAATTATGCACAAAGCTACACAAGGGCTATCTGTGCTCTGCCCACCACGGGTATCGAAACCCGGTTTCTAGCGTTGTAAGTCCGCAGACATACCGCTGTGCCACTGGGGGGCTTGTAGGTAACTAGTGAAGTGTTTGTAAATAGACTAGTAGTTTTCGATAACTAGTAAAGTGTTTGTACAATGTGGGAAGTAGTAATAATAACTCATGTGGAACTATAATACAAACATTCGCAACGACGGGCAGAACAATAAACATCAATGGTGATTTTTATGATGATATTTTAAAAATGAGAAAGATTACTAATATAGCACATCGCATTCCAAAAAAAAAAAACGGGGGGTGTAGTTTATTTATAATTATGCATATAAATATTCAGTCTACTGTTATTTTTGTACCGAATTACAATTGGCATTTACCGAAAATTTAAATTTTAATAAGTTGTTTGTTGTTAAGCATAAAAACACACAACGAGCTATCTGCACTGTGTTTATTGTGGAGGAACCGAACTCAGGATTCTAGAATTAAAGATGAATCAGCGGTGTACATTGAATTCGAAGATTTTAGTTTCTCAACACCGAGGTTTCATTCCCGTCAGTTAAAGTTTTAGGGTTTCGGTGTGTGGTTGAAATGGTTTCTTTTGATTTGTTTTGAACTTTGCGCAAAGATATACGAGGGCTATCTGAGCTAGCCGTCACTAATTTAACAGATTAGAGGGAAGAAAGCTAGTCAACACCACCCACCGCCAACTCTTTTACCAGCGGATTGACCGTCACATTATAACGCCCCAACGGATGAAAGGGGGATTCGAACTCGTGACCCTCAGATGGCAAGTCGAGCGCCCTAACCACCTGGCCCTGTAGGTCATGATTTCGTTTTAAAGGTACTTCTATCATAACGTTGAGAAAAATAATGCAAGGCAAGCACAACTTTAACATGACCAGGAAAGTATATTATACCTAGTTAATATTAAACACACTGAATGAAAATCTCACACTCTCAGAGAGTGTAAAAATAACCCTTTTCTCTATTTCACATTTTATTAATCTCTCAAATCAGTTCAGCCTTTATTTATTTATACTAGTTTAACATTGATTAGGATGGTCTTCATTGTTCCTCACAATTGTTGTTATTGTTTTTGTATATAGCATCAGGCTTTTGTTAACTGTTCCTCACAATTGTTGTTATTGTTTTTGTATATAGCATCAGGCTTTTGTTAACTGTTCCTCACAATTGTTATTGTTTTAGTATATAGCATTAGACTTTTGTTAACGGTTCCTCACAATTGTTGTTATTGTTTTTGTATATAGCATTAGACTTTTGTTAACTGTTCCTCACAATTGTTATTGTTTTTGTATATAGCATTAGACTTTTGTTAACTGTTCCTCACAGTTGTTGTTATTGTTTTAGTATATAGCATTAGACTTTTGTTAACTGCTCCTCACAACTGTTGTTATTGTTTTCATATACATAGCATTAGACTTTTGTTAACTATTCTTCAGAACTGTTGTTATTGTTTTCATATACATAGCATTATACTTTTGTTAACTGTTCCTCACAATTGTTGTTATTGTTTTAGTATATAGCATTAGACTTGTTTTAGAACCTCAAGAAGAAATAGATTTGAATTAAAGAGAATTCAGTACCCTCCCAGGAGCTGTGAACCCAATGATTCTTCTAAGTATTTTTCCACGTATTGTATTTTTTCTCGTGTGCCATGGAATGTTATTACACTAAGTTTTACTATACCTTGGTTGGTTGTTTGTTTGCTTTGGAGCAAAGTTACATTAGGCTGTCTGCTATGTCCACAGTGAATAATCGAACTCTGGATTTTAACGCTGTAAATCCGCAAACTTACTGAAGTAATATTAGTATTTTGCTAATGTTTTTATACAGCGAGGAAAATAAAAAATACACTAAACTAGCGTTTTTCCCCCTCCTTGTCCATGACAGAAAGAACTAGATAGGTATTTTTAAGTCGTGCTTCTAATGAAAATAAGTTATATATATATGTTAATTTGTTCGTTTGGAATTTTCTGTAATTTTTAACGATACAAATAATTAACTGTTATTAAAGCTTTTTTCTACTATGGCGCGAGTTGTTTGTTTAGTGGGAAGTAGTTTTTTCATGGGATCAATAAGTACATGTGTTGCGCCATAATTTATTCAGAATTAATAGTAAATAATCCTTGCGTAATGCTTCATTTGCTGATAATATACCTGTGATCCAACTTAATAAGTAACATGGAAGCTAAGATGTGAAAGGTTGTTGATGATGAATTTACAGATGCGTATGTATGTTACGTCATAATTCATGAACGCGCTGACGTCCAATATTTTGTGTCTTCAAACTCTAAATGTATGTTTAAAAACGGATATAATAAAGAGACTATATTATCTATAATCCGGATTGAATAAATTACACTGTACTCTGGTTGATCTGCCGTATAATGTTCTGTGAGTGAGATCTTTCTTTCGATTTCTTCTGGACTGACGCCATTTTGAACACGCGCAGCAGTGCTGACATCTAGTAGTTGTAATCTCATGCCAACAATTTTTCTCCATCTGAAGTTACATGTATTTGGTGACGTTTTAAAAATCAATCGAATAATTACTGGTCACC